GGTGAGACATTCTAAATTTTTTCAAGCCCTGTTTATAAATAATAACAGACTAACCATGGTTAATGGAGCAGAGATATGCCTCTATCAACTCTAAACAAACAAGGAGAAATATTCCAAATGGGAAACATAGAATGAAATATTTCAAATATGGAACAGTCTAATAAAACATATATCCTATAAAATTTAAATCGCTAAGAAAAAGATTAATATAGCAGAAAGAATGAATAAGCTGCTGACACAGCCAGAACTAATATTGTAAAATATTATAGATTGTGGGAGAGTAAGAAATAAAAAATGAGCTAGAAAAGCAGACAGAACAAGTATTTCTAAAACGGGTGAAATGCTTCTTTCCACCGAAATCTCTTCCAAATAAAAATAAAAATAAACATTTTATAAAAATAAAAACAGGTGAGTCAGTTATGAAGTGATAAAATACTACAATAGTGCACAATTTACAATATTGACTCTAGAGTAATTCTCTTATTATGAGAGTTTTCTGAAGCACGTGGGAGGTGGATTGCAGCCATAGTTACTAATGACAAGATGATAATATGTTTAGGAACCATGAATACTAATGAAGATGTGGATTTTCATGACATATTTCTATGGTGCTAAGGAATTTGTTAATGAATTTACAAGAGTACTAAAAAGTGATGTAGAACTGGGAGTGTATTAAGAGTGGAGGGGAAAACCAAAATATACTACCAACCTTCAAAAAGGAAAGTGTGATCCTTGTAATTACCACCTGGTTAATCTAACTTCAGTACCCTATTAAAATAATGGAAATATTGAGAGAAACATAAAAACCAAGTACTTTGTAACATTTAGGAAGTGAAGGAACGGGTCTTTGAAGTGTATTAATGAGGTTTTCAATCTTCAATACTGTATTACAAAGTCAGAGAACATGAATAAACTAGATAGACAAAACAAAGATTTCACAAATCTCTGTGACACCAACTAGTTGATTTAAATGAAGTACTTGACTACAAATATGATGGGATTTCCTGAAACAAGGTTACAACAAAAACAGCATTTCCAAATAGAAGGGGGAACCTATAAATGCTTGTCACAGAGACTGCCACTCAAAGAAATCTTTTAAGACATCTTCATTGATAATAATAAAACAGTTTAGGGGGAATGACACTTCTAAGTTACAGAATCACAACAGATTTAGACACTAAGTACAATGACAGTAATAATCATCTATCTAGATGGGCTAAAATAATTTGTGGTACTAGCATGTAGTATGGGTTGCTCAGGGGAGAAAACCAATCTTAAGTAAAGTTGACAGAGATGGCCATACCAGCGACGAAAATTTCCATGACATCCACTTGAGGATGTTAGATTTGACAAAAGTGCATGTTAAAATCTGCAGCTAGTTTTGGAAATACTAAGAGAATGGGTTACAAAGTGTTAGAATTCAAATTTACAGCTATGTATGTCTACTGTGATTTAGAGTATCTTGGGGGGGGAAGACATCTAAAATCAGATTTTTTTCCCAACTTTTTTCCCTCAATAAATGCACTAAATGTTTTTATAAATACTATGTAAAACCTATTTGGTGGCAATGAAGTGTCCTTAGACCAGAGTTGTTTTAACATGACATCTAGATACCACTGACTGCAATGGTTTGAGAAATATGATAGGCTCCAGTGGGGAAGCTCTAGCCAACCTAGCGGTTCGAAAGCATGTAAATGCGAGTAGATAAATAGGTACCACCTCTGTGGGAAGGTAACAGCGTTCCGTGTCTAAGTTGCACTGGCCATGTGACCACGGAAGATTGTCTTTGGACAAAACGCTGGCTCTATGGCTTGGAAACGGGGATGAGCACCGCCCCCTACAGTCGAACACAACTGGACAAAAATTGTCAAGGGAACCTTTACCTTTACCTTTTACCAGTGGGGAAGGGGGACAAACACTCCAGATATTTCACCATTTGAAACATTTAGCTTCTTGTCAGGTATATGCTTGCCTTTTCTTCAAAATGTGGTGTAAACAAAATCCTGATTGTGATTTTTATTGCCCTAGGTACTGGTTGTTTTTCTTTTTCAACTCCTTTTAAGTATTTAAATAATTTATTTAGCAATGATATAGCTAGAATCTCTGGAAACATCTCAAAATAATTGAAAGACTAGAATGATTAGTTTCATTTTATGTAATGTAATAGAGCATTTGCTGACTTAATTCTAAAGGTCATATACGCATTTAGAAATATCAGTAAGCCAACTTAACAATTTCCATCCCAGTTCTGCCCTTCACGCCAACACAATATCCATAGTATTTAACTTATCAAAATGACTACTGCTAAAACACTAATTGTTGACACAGCAGTTGATCAGCATTTGTTGCTTCAACAAGCAATTCATCCAGGGTTGATTTCATTTCCATGCGGATGCAACAGTGTACAGTATGACTAAAAAGAAGGGGCATGTCTAGGGGACGTATGGGAACTCTGGCTATGGGTCAGACAGAGCCTGCAGTAGACCACTATGTGCTTCCCTGCTGCCTTTATATCTGATCAATGATTTGAGACAAACGATTTTACATACACGCATGTGCACTGAGTCTTTTCAAAACCTCACTGCAACATGTGACGTATTTGGGCAGTGTTTGCCTCTACTGGGGAGGAAGGTGTAAGGCCTTCCAAGTGGTGCAATCTCCCACAAAAGCATCCCCTTCCCCTGTTGCAATAAACCTGCTTTTTAAAAGCCTCACTGCAGTAGAAAGAATTTTCAGAGTCACTGCTGGATAGGGCAGGCCTAATTTACTCCTCAATGCCATGAACCTCCCTGAAAAATCAGCCCCCCTCACTGTAATGACACTTTTGAAAAACTTCCATTAGCATCAATGCTCGTGCAGAATTAGGCCAAAAATCTTAGGAAGCATCTGATGCCATTATCCAGTAGTGACACAACTGAAGTAAACCTTCAAGGAACTCAACGGTAGCACTTCAGGCAGCTGAGACCCATTCAGCTGGGGTGAGATGACACAATGTGTGAGGGACAAATGACAAGGAATCACCACCACCACCACCACCACCATCATCATCTTAGAGCTGCAGAGCTGGAAGTCACCTATGGGCAATGGAATCCAGCCCCTGTCAATGAGGCACAGCGGGGAATCAACCTCCCAACTTTGGCTCTGCAGCCAGATACCTAAATCACTGTGCTATCCAGCAGCTCTCTCCATGAAGCTACAATTAGGTAGGAAGTATCTAAATGTAAGGCAAGCAACAATCCATCATAAAGAATATTAATGCTAAAGTTTAGAAAATAGAGACTCTAGTTGGTTGGCTGAAAGAGATTGTGAGCTAGAAAGTGGATCTGGGAGCAGCTTCAGCTTCTCTATGAGTATAGTCCTACCTTTCCTCCATTCATGAACAAGGAATGAAGAGTTTGTGAATTTACTTCCAGCCACAGAAAAATAGGCCCAAGATAAAATTATGGCAAAAGAAAATACAATGTAAAAAAACACTAAAATAATTCAACAACTTAAGTCATAAGTTTAAATATATAAATTTATTGGCACTCTTTTAGAAATGTTATTTAATGCTTTTTTAAGGCTACATATTGAGGCTGCCTACCAAATGGATAAGATTTTTTGTAGCTGAAGTGACTAGAAGATCCAGACACTAGATCTAATATTAAAAATACTGATGTCAACAAAAAACAAGCAAACAATTCATCATTTTTAGGGCTCCACACTAATCTGCTAAGTGTTGCTTTGAAAATTAAAATAACTGAGGCTATCATCCTATACCAACCTATAAAAAAAGAAATGCCAGTGGAATCACTGGAATTTACTATTAAGTGGACTTGTGTAGGGACCGTACTGTCAGTGAATATCCAGGAACAATGCTATGTATAATATCACTGATACTGCTGTTGTCATCACGTGTTGTCATGTACACATGGCAACTCCATGACTTCCAAATGATCCTATTCTAACAACCCTGGTCAGAATTTGCAAACTACAGGCCATGGCTTACTTAATAAAAGTCAATATATCTCATATTACACTGATACTGGGACTCAATTAAATGTCTCTGGTGTTTAAAGCATAATAACTGATAATGCTATCAGATATGAAAAAGGTAAATGAAGCAATCCTTCAAAAATTCTTTGATCATAAATTTTAATATGATCAAAAAGTATAGAGGATCCACAGAGCCATAAAAATTGTACTTTTGCAACACATGAGCACACACACACACACACAAACAAAATGTTTGGTATAAAAACTGTACTTTTGCAAAACATGAGCGCGCGCGCACACACACACACACAAACAAAATGTTTGGGATTGCTGTTTATTTCTTTCCTGAAACACTAGGACAAATTTGATACTTTCTTAGGAAATACAAGATAAAAGTAGGTTGCCCCAGTTACAATTCTCAGCAGACAAAATTCCTGTAGACAAATATCTGCTCTTTGGCACATAAAGAAAAATGTATTGCTCCCAAAAAAACTCAAAAGGAGTCACTGACAGATTTTATAAGAACATTAGTTAAATTAAGTTTGCAAATTAAGTAAATTGCCATCTCCATGTCCAAGATTTTCTCTGTAAGTATCTATTCATCCTGACATGATGAGTGCAAGAAAATGGCACATTCTCTAAAAAATTGTCAGGTATCAGATCAGTGGCACTTGGGGGAAATAATGTAAAAGTCAACACATATGCAGTGTGCTATTTAAGTGCATTTATGACCACCAAATAGCCTCTTAAGGCAGGTAAAGATTTTGACTGTACATGGCCATTTCTCTTGAAACTATATTTAATAAATTACTGTTTACAACTGCACTAGATAGTGCTTTTTTCTTCTTACTTTCATTAGACAACCAAAATCTTGATATCTCACTGCCACTTACTATAGTGCAGTCATAGAAGACATCCCCTATCAGTAGCATCCAGTTAGCTCAATTATTTGATTAGTTCACAAGAAACCAAAGAAGGGGAAACATTCACAGGATTCTTGCTCAGCATTATGGGATGGTTCCTACCATATTACTCTGAAACTGTGTGGCCCCATACATTGTAATGCCATTTGAAGGAGCTGTCGGCTGTGGTGTATCTGGCTGTATAAATCCTCTTCTATCAATTAAGCTGAAGGATTAAAAAAAAGATGTGTTACAAACAATTCTGATGAGAAAGTACTGGAATAATATACAAGGGGGAAACTATTTCACCCTAGGAGCATCATATCAAATGACATCTAGGAAAATAGATTCACAGTGAAACAACTGTTCATATTTCTAAGTTTGGTAGAGCTACCTGAGTTTCTGTAGTAAGTGCATTCCAAAGAAAGAAATAAAAAACTGACTACAATCTATAAATTTCTCTGTTTGTAGCAAAGCAAATGATTTAAACATTTGAACAAATGACATTAAAACTCTCATCAAAAGACACCACCGGTCCATTTAGCAATTATGTATAGTATCGAGTTGTTAATTATTTGATGGCCGGGATCCAATGGTTGTGGGTTTTTTGGGGTGTTTGGCCATGTTCTGGAGGTTTTTCTTCCAAACATTTTGCCAGTCCCTGTGGCTGGCTTCTTCAGAGGACAGGAGTTAGAACTGTGTCTGGTGTAGTGTGTGGGATTGTATCCCACACACTAAACCAGACCAATCCCACACACTACACCAGAACAACCCCACACACTACACCAGAACACAGACAGAGTTTTAACTCCTGCCCTCTGAAGATGCCAGCCACAGAGACTGGCGAAATGTTAGGAAGAAAAACCTCCAGAACATGGCCAAACAGCCCGAAAAGCCCACAACAACAATTGTTAATTATTTACTTAACAAAGTTGTATTATAAAATAGAGGGACAACGTTTTATCACCAATGTATTCCGGTACAATTTAGCACAGTTTAGAAATACAGTGGTGCCTCGCTTAACGACGATAGTCCGTTCCAGGAAAATCGCCGTTAAGCGAAAACATCATAATGCAGGAAAAAAACCCATTGAAACGAATTGAAACCCCTTCAATGTGTTCCAATGGGGTCAAAACTCACTGTCCAGAGAATATCCTCCATAGGGCAGCCATTTTCGCTGCCTGTCTTGCGAGGAATCCATCCCAGAAAACAGTGGCGAGCCATTTTGTTTACCTGGTGGCCATTTTGAAACCACCGATCAGCTGTTTTAAAATCGTCGTTTTGCGAAGAATCAGTTCCCGAAGCAGGGAACCGATCATCGCAAAGCGAAAAAAACTCATTTAGACCATCGTTTTGCGATCACAATTGCGATCGCAAAAAGATTGTCGTAATGTGGGGCAATCGTAAAGTGAGGCACCACTGTAGTGGCTGAAATCTTGTTCCATAACTTATACCTATGTAAAGTTTATTATGGTATCAGCAGGGGTAATTTTTCATTAACAAATAGCAAGGATACTATTTCCAGTTCACAAGACAATCAACGCTGGAGAGGGTCTTTCAAGGTGTAAAACCAGCCGGGGGAAAAATATGTTTTCGGAACATATGGTGAGCCCCAAGAGGTCTGTAGAGGGCATGATTTAAAATACTGGAGGGAAAAAACTGTCAGGAAGCAGGATGCATAAGAGCCATATTGGAGGCCCCATGACCATATAGTCTGTGGGCCATGCTTTGCTCACTCCAGTATTACAACACATGTCCATTAAGGCTGCCTAAAACAACAACTTATGTAGTGTTGACAGTTATATATTTGTGACCCAAAGAGCATAATAAGATGCAAAAAAGAAAGAAAGAAAAAGAAAAGAAGAAAGAAAGAAAGAAAGAAAGAAAGAAAGAAAGAAAGAAAGAAAGAAAGAAAGAAAGAAAGAAAGAAAGAAAGAAAGAAAGAAAGAAAGAAAGAAAGGAAGGAAGGAAGGAAGGAAGGAAGAAAGAAAGAAAGAAAGAAAGAGAAAAGAATACAGTATAAGTTACACAAAACAGCTACATTATACATCTTACCTGGGAGAAAGTGGCCCACAAAGTGCAGAACAACAGTTAGTGAAAATGTTTCCATGGCTATATGGATTGAAGTTCTCTTTACCTCTTTTATTTGACCAAGATCCTTTGATCTGGTAAGAAAGTATATCTGGATATTATTTTTCACTTATTTTACTTTGCATTTTTAAAGCACTTCAACGTAAGTCCTAAAGCTCTTTATGCTGTCTAAGAACCATGGAGACAAAATTAACCAAGAAATGACAAAATCCAAGAGCAACCCATGCAGTATTTCCACTGAACCTTAACTACCCACATCAAAAATACTTTTATTTGTAGCAACTTACTGCACTACCCTGCACAACATACTGACCAAAATCCTCTTAGAAGAGTCCGTTTGTTTTTTAATAACTTATGAGTTATGTAGTGTCCCTTAATTGGGAGAAAAGAGGCATAAAAATAAAAATCAATCAATAAGTCACATTAAATGTCCAGTGAAACAATGAAGGTTAAGTCAGTTAAAGGTAAAGGTAAAGGTTCCCCAAATAAAAATCCATCAATAGATCACATTAAATGTCCAGTGAAACAATGAGGGTTAAGTCAGTTAAAGGTAAAGGTTCCCCTTGACAATTTTTATCCAGTCGTTTTGTCTGAAGACAATCTTCCATGGTCACATGGCCAGTGCGACTTAGACACGGAACACTGTTACCTTCCCACCGAGGTGGTCCCTATTGATCTACTTGCATTTGCATGCTTTCGAACCGCTAGGTTGGCGGGAGCTGGGACAAGTGACGGGAGCTCACTCTGTCGCGTGGATTCGATCTTACGACTGCTGGTCTTCTGACCCTGCAGCACAGGCTTCTGCAGTTTAGCCCACAGCACCACCACGTCCCAGTCAGTTAACGCTTCCATTAATTTCATTGATACAAATAGGTCTACTCTATTTGTGACTTACTGTGCTAAGTAAGTCACAGTTAAAGTAGGCCCATTTGACTCAATGGGGGATTTGTTTCACCAGATCTCCACTGAATCAATGGGCTTACTCTAGTGCAATTTACTGGATTTGTTTCACCAAATCTCCACTGAATCAGTGGGCTTACTCTAGTGCAATTTACTACACTAAGCGGCAGGATTTTGGCCACTGGCTGAAATCCTGCTGCAATTATGCAAAATGTGTAGTTTTTAGCAATAGAATGGTGTAAATTAAGAAAGACTGCCTTAAGTCTATCGGCATTATCTGTTGCATACTGAGTCATAAGACTTGGCATACAATAGCTACTACCTACAGAGGTTTCTTAAGTTATAGCAATTCACCACTAAACATTATGACTTTTGTGTAATGCTGGAACAAGATTTCGGCCATTGTCACAAAGAAGCTCCAAGGGCAAGGAAATATCTCTCCAAGGATACCACCCCCACCTCTTCTTAGGAAAAGGAAGGAATTAGGGCACCACATTTTATTCATTTACTCATTTTTATATTACATGTCAATGAGATTTACAAAATCATAATAACTGAAACATAAATACAAAACAAATAGCTGACTAAAGTAAAAGCCGCTTTCATATTAATTTTAAACCATCTTTCAATTTCATGTAGAATCTGAAATATAACAATTTAAATGTAAATTTAAAACAAAACTAGAATAAATAAAAAGTTACTTTAGTGTTTAGTTAATCAGAAAAAAAACCTCATTGAAAATAACCAAAGTCTTATGGCACCCAATACATTTATTACGGCATAAGCTTATGCTGACTACCGACCACTTCATGCCACAATGGCATCTGCTGTTGTAGCAACAGACTGCTACAAATTAACATGGCTGTCCCTCTGGAAACTATCTTATTAATGCAAAGTTACCGATATCCTTTTAGACAATACCAGAAATAATGTTTCTGACCATTTTACATCTACTTATATGTAGATCCAGGGATAGGTAGTTGTCCGACTTTCTCTTTCTAAAATTGAAAAAATTCCCCAAAAGCAGCTTGCGATTCTGATTTGATATACCGTATACCATCTTTTGCCAACAAACCTCACAGCATTTTAGGTAAGATAAAAGAGCTAATCTCAATGCGAAAGAACAAAATTAACATTAAAACGACAACAGTGAAAGAACTCTGATCTCAAGATAGCCATATTTGAACAAAACAAGTTCAAAGACAGGTTCCAAAGGTAACTCTCGAAGAAGAATTTTCAGCTTTGTTTCCTTCCAATTAAATGTGACAGGCCCTTATCTAATTATACATATTAATCAGCTCATCTGTGCAGGTTTATCTGTATTGTTAACGTGGTGTGTGTATTATGACAACTGCTCAGATAATTTTAATATATGCCAGGCTTTCTCCTTTCTGGCCTTCAGGAGATGGGTAAAAATATATTGTCCCCCTCTGACATCTTTGTGGATCCATGAAGTGGATATGGATCTTGACTAACCATTGCCTCTGGGTGTATTTTATAATTGGGTTATTACTGCTTTGGTCTAGAGCTCATTATTTATCTCTTTGTGGGCTGGGCTGGGCAGCTGTGTTTTTAATTGCTGTTCACCACCCTTAATAGAGGTTAGGCACTAGTTGGGTGAGATACAAACACAATTAATAAAATAATAAATAAATTTTCTGTTTTTAAATTTAGCACTCCAATTGCTCCAACACTCCTCTCCTGGCTTTCAGTCCTGGACTAAGAGGTCATATTCTTCCACTATACTAGGCTTAAACAAAACATTTTTGTACCTTTCATCTGTTTACAGTGGGGTCTTGACTTGAGAACTTAATCCGTATTGGAAGGCGGTTCTCAAGTCAAAACGTTCTCAGGTCAAATCTGCATTTCCCATAGGAATGCATTGAAAACCATTTGATCCGTATCTGCTCTTTTCCATCCATAGAAACTAATGGGAAGCTGCTATTCCGCCTTCGACCACTAGAGGGGGATATTTTGTTTCTTTTTTTCTTAGGTCAAGAAAGGTTCAGGGAAGGCAGGGAAAATACAGTCCAGGCAGTACCAGGCAGTCTGAAGACTCCCAATCCACTCTCTAAACGCTGGGAGGAGTGAGGAAGCAGACAGGCACCCTTTTCACTGGGTGAGATACAAACACAATTAATAAAATAATAAATAAATTTTCTGTTTTTAAATTTAGCACTCCAATTGCTCCAACACTCCTCTCCTGGCTTTCAGTCCTGGACTAAGAGGTCATATTCTTCCACTATACTAGGCTTAAACAAAACATTTTTGTACCTTTCATCTGTTTATTTGCTTATCTACCCTTCAATATACCTGCCACCAACTCTGAATAGCTATTAAAACCAACCATTAAAGAACTGCGCCTGTCACTGTGCAAGGACTGTTAATCATCCTTAGCAACCACTACACTACACATTCCCCTCCTCTCCATGTTTGCATAAATATCTGTCTATTGAGTCTATGTTCCACACATCTGAAAAAGTGTGCTACATTCCACCAAAGCTTATGACACATAAAATGTATTAGCTCAGTATCTTATTGAACCTCCACAGAAAGCTCTCTACCCTTGGATATACCTGTCACCAACTCTGAATAGCTATTAAAAACCACCATTAAAGAACTGCGCCTGTCACTGTGCAAGGACTGTTAATCATCCTTAGCAACCACTACACTACACATTCCCCTCCTCTCCATGTTTGCATAAATATCTGTCTATTGAGTCTATGTTCCACACATCTGAAAAAGTGTGCTACATTCCACCAAAGCTTATGACACATAAAATGTATTAGCTCAGTATCTTATTGAACCTCCACAGAAAGCTCTGTGGAGCTTTCTGCAATGGAGAATTGATTCATGCAAGCATTGTTACTGCACAAGTAAAGGGAAAAGTTATTTTTTTCAAGGAGACCACTGCTTGGATAACAGCAACACTTGTGCAAGTACTGCCATTCCCAGTTGTTACACTGCTAGAACCTTCCACACAGTGGAACCCAGGGGGATACAGACTAAGATGCCATAAGATTATTTGTTGCTTTTGATGCCAGACAACAGATTAACAGATTGGCATTGCTTGCTACCCATTGGAAATGTTTTGACCTGGACCAGTGGTTCTTAACCTTTGTTACTCGGATGTTTTTGAACTGCAACTCCCAGAAACTCCAGTCAGCACAGTTGGTGGTGAAGGTTTCTGGGAGTTGCAGTCCAAAACTCCTGAGTAACCCAAGGTTAAGAACCAGTGACCTGGACAGTCAATTTACTCTCTAGGCAGTCATCCTGCTTTATTTTTGCTTTTTCTTCTTTTTCTTCTGCCTTAGAAGGCTAAATGGTTAGGGACTACTTCCCAATGGTTTTATTTCCCAATTTTCTTATCTCCCAGGCACCAAAATATGTTTTTTTTAAAGGTATAGATAAATGGAGACAATGAAAATTGAATAGACTACATTAACAAATGAAGAAAAATTATAATACGAAGTTTAAAAACAACTTACATCCTCATTTGTTGTTTGGTTGGAACTTATCAAATAAGTATGAAAACCTGAGAGCCCCACAATGGACCAAACGGAGAAGAAACAGACCACAGCTTCTAGCACAGTGACTAACGTCAAGGTCATAACTGACATGTCAGTAAATATAATGACTACTCAACAGAAGTTTCAGCTTACAAGAACAGTACCCAGCATTATGAGATGCTGGGAACAACGAACATAGGATAGACTTCACCATGCATATAGGATACTTTTTTGAACCAATGCTTTTTTCAATGCAATGCACACACACAACATAACTATCATTAAGTCTATTAAGCCTTTATATATGAAAGAGAAACAGATGCTATGTGGGAGTAAGGCCTAGCATATTTCTAACTTAGAATTCTCTAGATGTTTGTGAGTTCTGAATCCCAGCCAGATAAAGGTGGCAACTGAAACAAATGAATGAGAAGCGGAGAGTAAGATCTTACACAGCCTGTGACGCCAACCTCTGCAAAACTAGCAGATTTTCTCTTCAGCAAATCGTGCCTTCTGCAGTGTAAATGGTAGCAGGCTGAGTTGTTTATATTCCTCTTGACCAGAGAATGTTCTGCTTCTGGTATTAAATTCTATATAGTCTCCTTTACCAGGAAAACATGAGTGGTGTGAGATATAGAACATTCACATTTTCCGTATTGCTTCTGTTTTCCAATGAATGCATCCTTGGGCCAGACTGTAGGTTTCTAGGTATCCAGATGAACTTTTTTTTCCATTGGAAGCATGAGTAAAGCAACAGCAAACAGTATAGGGGCCTGGGGTTCTTCCAACCATTTAAATATTTCATAGCTGTATGGTTATGACATATTTAAAGACCTGTTGCTCTCAGGCCTGCTCTGATAAAGTCAGTATACTATGGCTTCTGGAAAGTATGTACCAGTATAACAAAATCACAAATAGAAGAAAAAATGCCTAATACAAAATTGCCCTGAATATCTCAGTTGTTTAATACTTTGATGACATACATACTCTACCACCCCACAATATCACTTATGCCTTCCCCAGTACAGTAGAGCTTTTGATACTGAACATATGCCAACACTCTAAATAGACTCTGATGCTGCACACTTGAAAGGTGCTCTCTCCTGTAACTACTACTACTATAAAACAAACCAGTGAGTAAGGGCACAGAAGCCTTCTCTTTTTCAGTCATTGTTTAGCAGCAAATGGTCACTTATGATCAGCAGCTCAAACTCACAAACCACCACTGGCATTCACATACTGTAAAAGAATGCTGGATGCAATCGTGTCAAAAGGACTTGACTCATGAAGATACCTGACAATTTATTCAGCCAGGCAGTATTCTGCACATAAACAGCTTATCCTAGACTCAGATGTATTATTTGGAGATGTCAATGTGAATAAGGGCTAATGGATGGGTCAGCACACAGTAAGAAGCTTGAAACTATACAAAATAAAGCTGCAATCCAATGAGCTCAGCTTGAAACATTTGTTAATGAATGGTGCGTAGGGATGAATGGAACTAACAGCATCTGAAGTATAATTACTCTCCACTTTTATTTTCTATTAAACTGCAAGTATTGTAAATGAGCAAAAGAAGAGAGGAAATATGTTAAATAAATCACATGCTAGGTAGTTTTCCTAACACCATTATGCAGAAGGAAATATACTCATCCAAAAGAAGAAAAGCAAGAGAATTCAAAAGAAACCTGAGGCCAGGAAATTGCAGCAGGCTGCAACGTAAACAAAATCATGCCTCTGAAGATTAGATGTTGGCACTATCCGGAGCCTAAAGCCTTTTACATAAACTTCCTTTGCTAAGAAGCGTTCAAGTCCAATAAAGTTCTAAGATTTTGAGTACTTCTAATACAGTGGTGCCTCGCACAACGAGTGCCTCACACGACGATGAATTCACACAACAATGCCTTTTTCTGTTAAATCTGCTGCCTCACACAGCGATGTTTCCTATGGGGGATTTTCACACAACGATCTCCCTTTTCGCTCCTGTAAAAGTGTCTTACAATGTTTGGACGCTGTTTTAAATGATTGCAATGGTTAGTCCACCTCCTGAAACCTATGCAAACTGATTTTGGTGTTGTTCTGACACTTCGTTAATATATGATGATTTTTTGAATTTTCTCCATTGGAAACCATTGGATGGTCTGTCTAATGGTTTCCAATGGAAAAAACAAAAAATCATCATAAATTAACGAAGTGTCAGAACAACACCAAAATCAGTTTGCATAGGTTTCAGGAGGTGGACTAACCATTGCAATCATTTAAAACAGCTTCCAAACATTGTAAGACACTTTTACAGGAGCGAAAAAGGACTTCGCAAAGGCATTGAAATGTATTGAGTCGGCTTCAATACATTCCAATATAGGAAACATTGTTTCACTCAACGATGTTTCCTATGGGGATCTTCACTGAACGATGGCAATCCGTTCCAATTGGAATGGATTAACTTGTTTTCAATGCATTCCTATGGGAAATGGTGTTTCACAGAACGATGTTTCATACAACGTTGATTTTTTTGGAACCAATTAACATCGTTGTGTGAGGCACCACTGTACTTCATTTCTTTATAAACACAAAGTAGCACTCTTCCCTCCTTTATAGATCAGAAACATTTTGCTGCAATAAACTAAATGAAAAGTGCATTTAAACCTTTTGAAACCAATTCAAATGCACTTAATAAAATTTAAAGATAACAGCTCTCAAGTGATTAATATTAATGAACTAAGAATATGCTTTAGTGTGTATAAGGAGTTTTAAGCATGCGAAAACATGTAGATGGATGCTACAAACCACAAGCACCTTCTACTCACACAATAAGGCAAGATTCTGCCTCCTCTTTCTTACTTCATTCTTCTAAAACAGCTGCAAAGATCAGTGGAGTTTCCAGAACTATTTTAGATGCTGCATGAAGAGTTGCGGCTGGGGATTGGTACATTTGGTGGAAATCAGGAATCATGACTTACACTACAGGAAATGGTTTTCTGCTCATCTAAAACACTGGTAATTCAAGCTAATCCTTTTAAAATCCAATTATATGAAAGACGTTCGGAATAAAAAATATTGTCTATGACAAAATAGTTCCCATATAGCCACTTATGAGATAACAACTGAAGAGAACATTTATGTTCTGTTTATTAGAATAGACTTTCCTAATGCTACTGATGCTATTACTGTATATTAAATGTATGATTATTAAAAATAATAGAATTCAATCTATTACATTTATGGAATTTCTTTTATCACAGATTTTATTTAATTTTTTAAGCAACTGCCCACTCCTTAAATGCAAATAAAGAATAAATACGGTAGCTAATTTTACCCAAAGAATAATCCACAAATGTGGAATCAACTACCCTTTGATTTTAGAACAACTGAAAGGCTTTTTCATTTTCATAGAACTGAAAAGCTTAATGCATAATTAGAAGTGACTATAGTTCTTTAATAGGAAGCTAATGTGTTATTTATAAACACTGTATGTTGAACACAAATCTTTTGAACAGAGAGGTGGTTCTCCACCATTTATGCCCAGTGAATACACAAGGGAACATGGTAAATATTATGCATGCAAATAATTTATCTACCACCTTTACAATAACCACTTCAATCAGTAGCACTAAAATGATTGTGTCGAACTGAAGCCTTGCCATTTCCAAATACACTCATTACTAAAGAAAAATGTCAGTTTTCTCTAACACTCACATCACTTCACTGGCGGTTTTAAATAGGGTTTAAATAGATACTTGGCTACATGTAGAATCCACCATTGCCAATAGAATATAAGCCCAAATATATTGAGATATTAGTTGCTTTGAAATGAATACACCAGTAAGTACAGAAATATATTTAAGTGAAAGGATATCTTGCAGGACTGTCCTTGAGGGCATTTAAGAACCCTGTTTGCTGAGATCCTGAAAAAGAACCAAAGTAGAAATTAAAGGGGAATGTATGCTGAATACATAGAAAACAAAAACAAATAAAATATACCATTATAATTGCAGCACTAAATTACAGTAGTTACATGTGGCCTTGAAATGTTGCTCAAATTAGAAAGAAAGAAAATAAAGAAAATAAATGAGACTTAGCAGTCTGCGTCAGACATTTTCTTAGTACTACCACACTAGTGTCTACAGGAATTTATTTTCTATAAATAAGATTTTTGATTATACTTGCTATTTTGTATGCTAATATGGGAACAAAATACAACACGCTGTTTTTCTCCATAAAATTTTCTCATGGATTTTCTTTCACAAAAATATGTTTCTGTTGGATCAGGATATCTAAATGACCACAGTATGACCCAAATTCCAAGCTGCTTACAGATTCCTCTGGATATAGTTAGGAAACAGTGTTGTGAGAAGCCAGCCATGAATTCCTTCTTTACTGTATTAACAGATCCAAGCTCAGTCTGTAAGGAACTGAAACTTTTCACAACCTGTTCATTTGGGAGACTCTACAAGGCAACATTTTGGGAAATGCCAAAGGCTGCAAGGAAGATTCATCCATATAATAACTCCATGCAAGTAAACTAGAAGCCTTCAGCTTCTATATGATCTAGTTTACACATACAGATGATTTCATTTGATGGTGCAAGCACAGCAGTTCTGAAAAGCTATTGCAAGGCTTATCAGACCACTAGAACAATGTGAGATGTAGTACAGGGTGCTTGGAGAAAATTAGTGAAAACTTTCACCCTTTCTGCAGTGGAAGTCTCAGCTGAATTTCAGTCCCTTTCACAAAAAGAAAGTCTTTCAGTTCACGAGGCAACAGTGGACCCAACTTAATGCACATATATCTATCATATCTAAAATACACTAGAGCTGGTGGGGATCAGTTTTCTTCAAATGAGCACAAAGTATTCTTTGATAATTAAGGCCAGCAACTAGTGGATAGCAGATGATGATGATTGTGATTATGATGTCCACTATGATAAACCACATGATAATGATTTGGAAAGCATAGGAGAAAACTGTTTCATGAGAAAAGAAGTTTAAAAAACTACTGGCCCATTTACATGAACTAAGACCGCTCTGTGAACTCTGGCTACTAATCTGTGGATTAGTAGGAAATAAGTAGTATAAATAAAAAGAAAACAAATAATTTGACAGAAACAAAGTAAAACCAAATAAATAAAAATGCATTTTAATTTAGGTTTGCTAAAATTATGAATTAATAAGAAAACTTTATAGACAAAAGTTTTGTTGATAATCTGAACTAGATACACCATTTGGGGAATCAAAGACAAGGAAAAAGTAAAGATATCCTGAAGACTTGAACAATTAAAATTAAAAACAGAGTATCAAACAAATGGTTTTGTATATAATTTGATTTTACTAGTATACTTACGATGGATGACGTGTGTGATAACGAATGCAAATATAAAGACTGTCAGAAAGGACAGAGATAAAATAAACATATAAAAAAATCTGTAGTTTCTTTTCCCCACACAGTTGCCTACCCAGGGACAATGATGATCAAATCGTTCTGAAAGAGAAGGTAAAAAATAAAAATAAAAATGGACATAGTTAAGGAAAAAACAGTTTGCCTGACAGAATTGCTCTATCACACCAAAGTATTTACTATTATGGTTTCTCATAATACATAACTTTATATTATCATGGCTCAGATCTATCTCATGTGTTTAATTTCATAAACTGGTATTCTATAATGCTTCACTTTTTTCTATCCTGTGCAAATCTTTTTGAATCCACTTTGCTCTCTCTTCTCTGTTTTATATAATTTTTTCTAGGATTCTTTCTTAATTATCTTCCTGCTATATTCACATTAATTGTTTTATTTTACTCTAATTTAGACTGGATTGGCAACCTCATGACCAGATTTTTGCCTCCAGAACCACAAGGGCACATCAGCCTTGGAAATGCCAAAAAAAGGGGAACAAATGCATATAAATAGGCAAATCTTGAAAGTAGTTGGATTCCTGCTTCCAGTTTCAAGAAGTGGGAGAACTCTTTTTAAAACGTAGCATCCCTTGGGCTGCACTTTGCCCAACCCACCTTGCAGGATGCACACTGGAGTCCCAGCATTACTTAGAATAGATTGTCTCCCCAATATGAGAAAAGGTGTTTCCATATGTAGTTTTTACCAGCATGTCCACTCACAATAATAATGTTTAATCTGCTACGAAAGCGGAGCAATTTTTAGTCTAGCAGAAGTTTTCAAGTTAATTAATAAAACACACTAGACTGAAATAGGCAATATTTAGAAGTCCACTTCTGTAACTACCAATCTCCCCCAACCCCCACATCTTGATTTTTCTTTTAAACATTGGTTGTTTTTAAACTGAAAAAGTAGGGATGGGATTTCCACCTTTTTAGGAGCCCCACTTCCAGAATTCTCTTAGAACCCCCAGGAAGAATTCTGGAAGTGGGAGCCTAAAAACAAGTTGTGGGTTTGTTGTTTAAAGCAGAAGTTCCATGGGAAGAGCATGAAGGTAGGAAGGACTGCTGGGGGAAGAATTCTGGGAGGCTACATTTAGGCCCTTGTAGAGAGGGCTATGGCTTGCAAACCTCATCTTCACCACCCTAATTCCTGCTTTTTACATATTAAAACAATGCACAATTTTAGAATTTTAAAAACATGCCTAGATGGAACTTAATATAGATTGTATGAGGTAGAGCTCCCCACAGAAAATTGTTATAATTTCTTACTGGCTATTCTGGAGGGTGATAATTTTCCTGTTCTGAATAATTCACACAGTAAAGTGGCATCTCTACACAATCAGTATCTCTACTAATTTTCTTCCTAATAATCATTGTCTATGAGTGCACCTATGCAATGTATAGTCCTTGTAGGTTTTAATGTTGATTTTTGTTTGTTGATAGTTAGACTGAGATCGCGCAGAAGGGCGAGAGTGAAATGGGTGTCTCATCGAGCTTTGCGATGGAGGGTGCTACAAGGAGTCATTGATACATGGAAATATGAGAATGTTTTGAAGTCTGAGGTAGGTGGCTACCAGCTCCATGCACTTGGTGAACACTCTCGGAGCTGTTGCAAGGCCGAATGGGAGTCTTTTGAATTGGTATGTTTTTGATCCAAGTGGGAAACAAAGGTATTTTTTGTGTGAGGAATGTATTGCAATATGAAAGTAAGTATCTCTTAGGTCTATGATGGTGAACCAGTTGTTTTTTCGAAGTAAGAGAAGTACTGATTCTAGAGTAACCATGCAAAATTTTGTGATGACAATGTAGTTTTTTAATAATCTTAAATCTAGAATAGGGTGAAGGCACCCATCTTTCTTGGGGATGGTGAAATAACAAGAGAAAAACCTGGTGTTGTTTTGATAGACGGGTTATATCACATCTTTGACAAGTAAATTCATTATTTCTTCTTGCAGGGGTTGTGACGGAGGAGTAGCGACGTGTGTTGTTGGAGGAAGTTTGAAGACATGGATGCTGTAGCCCTTTTTGATGATGGAGAATATCCAGGAATCTGTGGTGATGGATTCCCATGCAGGTGTTTCCAGACGGCAGGTTTGGTGGGGTGGATGGCAATCTCGGTCAGAGGAACGTCAAACATGGTGTTTGGGTTTCCAGTCATTCTGCCTAGAGTGGCAGGCTGTTGCCGGATTTTGGCTCTTTGGTTTTTGAAGTATGGATTGTAAGAGGTTAGTCGTGGAGAGTCTTGTTGGAATCTCTGGTACGTTTTATAGGTTGTTTCCATTTATTTTGCTGAGGATGTTGCTGGTAGGAAGGGTAAACTCCCCAACGTCTGGCTGCTGAACGTTTCTTTTGTACATTCTCTAGTATATTGTCAGTTTCAGCATGGAAAAGACCTGCTCCATCGAAGGGGAGGTCTTCGATGTATGCCCGAGCATCTTCAACTAAGCCAGCCGTTCTGAGCCAGGAAAAGCAGCATAGGGCTACTGAAGTGGCTACGGACTTGGCTGTAGCATCTACAGTGTGGTGTAGCATCTGTTGTTTAGTAACGTAGAGACCTTCTTGTTGGAAGGTTTGAGCCAGTAACTTTTTATCCTCTGGCAGGAATTCAATAAAGGTGGACATGTTTTCCAAGAGAAAGTGTTGGTAAGCTCCCATGGCTCCTTGATAATTGGCAACTTGCATGGTGAAGGCTGCAGAAGAGTAAGGCCATCTACCCATGGAGTCTATTTGTCGGCTGTCTTTATTTGGTGGTATGAGAGATTGTCGGTGTCGAGATCTCGATTGAGAGGCTTTGACAAATGCAGAACTTGGAGCTGGTTGTTTTTGGAGGAAAATAGCTCCTGGGTCATGGATTCTACAGAGGTTATCAATCCCCTTAGACATGGTATGGGAGAAAGCTGGTTTTGTCCAGGATCTCTGCGCAGTACTAAGATGGTAACATCGATATGTGTACCGTAGTGGTTGCATTTTTAGAGATTGGATCATATAGATGATAGGCTGGTTCTGTCGATCGTTCGGTGGATTTGTAGATCAAGGGATTTAACCATGCGAATCATAAGTTGGGCATAGGTCTGGAGATCCTCTGCCAGTGACGGCGGGTCGGTATCTACAATGTCTGACTCTGGAGAGGGAAGTAACACTGATGGAATCTGTGGCTGAGATCCATTATCCAGAGTCATCAAGGTCGCGTCTGGAGTTGACAGACTGTCGAGTGACTTCGGTGTTGAGAAGCTGAGTCTCATAGTATTGTCGGTTATGAGTCGGAAAAGATGGAGACGGCATGTCCATGGACATCTATCAATGTTGAGGATCGTTGACATCGAAAGATGGTGGTTGGGTATTGATGGACTTTGATTGGTAGGTGTCGAGCTCGGTATCATAATGGTGCCGGGGTTGATGACTTTAATTTACCGGAGGATGGGAACTGTGTTGATGTAACGGAATGGAGCGAGTGTCCATGGACCAGGATGAATATCGAGGATCATCAATATCAGAGCCTGTGTCTCTGTGATGTCGAAATGGAGGTTGCTGATGCGATGGCATAGCAGTAGAATAAATTGACACTGGTGATGATGAGCGTGAAGAGTGATTTCCGTCATCTATTGTAGTAGGAAAGTATTGGGAGTCTGGGGCTGCAAAAGCCTCACGTGTGGATGAAATCTGCTTGACCGTCCAAGGTTTTTTCGATATCAAATGGGGAGCAGGTTGAGGTATAGTCACTTCTTGATGTGGCTGCTTCGACACCTATGGTTGTCGAGAGGTAGGCCAACTATTAGATGGTATTATCCAACCGGGTAAAACACCTGGTTGACTAGGTAGTGCACTTTGACGAGCAGAGCACTGGTTGGTGCAAATGGCAACCCGATGCGTGTGCTAGCATGGGTTTCAACCACACGCTATGAAACTAGCTGTTGAAATTATTGATGTTGACGGTCCTGGTTAGGGATTGGTGGGCAATCCGAGGGCATTGCCTATGGAACGGTGTTGAGCTGTTCGGGATGGGAATCATCAGGCGATGGAATAACCGAAGGATTGCTGGAAGGAATGGAAGGTTGTGGACTGGGAGGAGAGGATGTTAGTTGGTCGACTCTTATCATCCCATTCTGGAGACTGAGAACTGGGTTGATGGGATGGAAGTCTGTCTTCATCTGAGGGAGATCCGACCGATATTGATTCAGAGAATTGTGGTTGTGGTGAGATGTCTGTAGGCTTAGACTGTTTAGCTCATTTACGAGGCACAGGCTCTGGAGCTGGAGCAGCTTCAGTAGGTCTCTGACGTTTAGAGGTTGTTTTTGAAGTCGAGGACTTCGGTATGGAGGGTTTTGATTTGTGTGATGTAACGGCTTTTTCCATTGCTTTGGTTTGGGAAGTGGCCCTACAGGGAGGTTGGGCCATTTGAACTGGTTGTAAGGATTGTTCCCAAAGTTGAAGTTTTAGCCTTGAAAGGTGAGATCGAAGAACTTCGCGCTTACATTTTTTGCAATGGGTACAGAAGGAAGTTTGATGTTGTTCTCCCAAGTAGAAAAGGCACTTAGCATGTCCGTTGGAAAGTGGGATCTTATTATCACAGACAATGCAGTGCTTAAACGGGCCCAAAGGGGCCATGAATAGGAGAAAATAATTGAAGAGAAAAAACCAAAAATTTGGAGGGGGGCTGCAGCAGGAGGCTGAGCGAGGGGAAAGGAAAAAAAATCTCTGATGATAAAGAGTTTGATCTAATAGTTTAAAATAATAAGACTGATAATAGGAAGGAATCAAGAATAACATCTTTTTCTCTTTTACTCACAGAAGCAGAATTAGGAGGCTCTCAATGCAGCGGTTGAAAGAAACTGAAAGGGGACGCTTGGCATCAAGATGGAGAGGGGCATATTCTAATGTGTTCATTGCTATTGCAGAAGCTCTAGAATATTCTGATGAGGTTCCTTGCAGGTGTGAATCACCCAGGGTGTGATTCACAGAGGCCATGAAGAAGAACCAGCATTCACTGTTTTGTTTCAAAACTTTTTCTTAATGCCTTTTTTAAAATAGCACAGAACACTGTGAAACACTATACTACACTTTCTAGGAAAGTGACCTGTAAGCATTTTAAACAAACAAATAATGAAACATAATAAGGTGAATCAACTGACCCTTACCTAATAGTTGTATATTACCACTTTCTGCAATATTATAAAACATCTTGAGACACACCACTGTCAGCCCACAATGTAGCCACTGGGGGCAACAACATACCTTGGACCGGCTCTGCAACTATCTATAGAGCACCTATCAGTTAAGATGGAATTATCCAGGCAGCCTAGAAGAGTTCACACAATTAGCTGCTTCTGAAGTGTGGGGCAAATCCAGGGTCACGTCTCTTGTTATAATCCCAGCAGATAAATGGGGTCTTTCTAGGCTGGCTTCAGCCTTTGTACACAAATACTCAAAGAATAGTGTCAAAAACCATTGTGGAAAAATGATGTCACAGAAGACACAAGGGCTTTTGTGCAGAGCAGCAGAAGTCTTGTTAATTCAATTAAAATAACTGACATCTGTGCTAGTTTGGCATTCTGCCCTCTTATGGTTCTCTCTGAAACTCCACGATTTCATAATGCATGGCTGCATCTACTTGGGGTGATTTATCTGCCAGTTTTTTTTGTTTTTAAATCTTATGCTTATAGTTTTTTGTTTCTTTTTAAAATCTGGAACAAAAGAGTTGACAGGCGGCAGCAGAAGAAAACTGGGTTGCACCAAGTTAGTTATTTTGAACAGGTAATTAATGTAAAATTCTTTGTGATATTAATTGCTCTTGCACTTTGTTCACCATAGGACAAGAAGACTGTAAAGCCCAAAGAATGTACATAGTTTTTTCAGCATTCCGAGAGTAGGAACAAGCAAAGTTTCCTTCATTCTGATTGGCTCTGGTAACCCATTTTCATTCCTCATGCTTGGAAGATGAACAGTTAGTTATAGAGGACATTTCTGATCCCATAATAAAGGGTAGATTCGGAATGCCTATAGATTACAGATTATGGTTGAAGTAGAAACATGCTGCTTTCTACTTATCACACATGCAGCTGCCAGATTAAAAATAAGTTAACTGTAGATAAAGAAAAGCTTTGGTGGGTGTGAAATATCTCATGGGCATCATGTTATGTGTCTTTCAACTTGAAAACACAAAATTAAGAAGAACTCTTGCAGATTATTGTTGCCCAGCTGCAGGTTTATAGTTGCTGGTGTTTCTGAGCGGAACATTATTATCTCTTTGTACATGACTCTCCTCGTACACAATCCAAAGGCAAGGGTGAGTGGTACCTCTATTTCCACTAACAAATTACAATTATGTTTGTCATTTTAGTGGCCTTAAAATAAGGTATCAACTAGTTATGATTTGGTGATATTATAAAGATATCTATTCTAATTATACAAATAATGAAAGCCACATACTGATTGCAAGATTTAGCATAGTAATTTCCAAAAAATTTTCACTAAAGAATTCATGGATTTTTCCCCTTGCATACAAGTTTCCCTACTCCACATTTCATGTCACATTGTCCACACTATCATTTTGTCACAGCAATCTGTTATTTATTAATTATATTGATATTTTGCCTTTCCTTCAAATATTTTGAGGTGACATACATAGTTCCCCTCCCTATTTCAGGCTTCAGTAACCTTATGTGGCAACCAGGCTGACAGAGTGTGGTCCAAGGTGACCCACTGACCTTCATGGCACAGTGTAGATATAGTACTTAAACCAACTCCAGAAAATGTCTGTATCTAGATAAATATGTTCCAGATTATCAAATTTAAGAAGTGGATTACCATTACCACTGCCCATGTAAGTTTCCAGAAGCAGGCAGGGACTTGAACTCAGGTCTCCTGATCCCTAGTCTGACATTATCCATTACGCTGCACTGGCTCTCAGTAACCTTATTATTATTTTATTATCAGTCTCATTCAGGACTGTAGTTCACACTTTAAATCATGCTAGCAGAAACCCAACAAATGGTGGGAATATATATGGACACTTGGCCTACAGATTATAGAGAATGAAAAGAAAGAAAACATTCCTAAGTATATGTGCATGTTTTGAACTAAGTTAGTGAGGCCTACAAGTCAAGGGTCTTGAAAAGACTCACTCTTTTTTGCCTATAAATTTGCCACAGTAATCTTATTAGTCTTGTACTGTCAAGGCAATTTGGATTCCATACTCCAAACATGGAATACAAATAATGACTATTTAGCATTCACTGCATTCGTTTCTCCTAATCCCAAAGATGTTTATTTCTAACAATAGATGGCAACACCACCAGTAAGCACAAGATTCCAAAGTAGCTTTCCTATGGTTTCCTATCCACTATTTTAGATATTATATTGATTTAAGTTACAATTTCACAAATCATTCTATATGCCATGATTCAGGAGCAATTGTATATTCCAAATCTTATGTCAGCCATATTGGAAGATGGCAACTACAGCATTCACATAACAAAACAGACACATCTGTCTCAGCATACTTGTTTGAATCACATACAAAGATTCAGGTTCTCTGTCCATCTGTGGCCAAAGTCCTGTTTGCCACACTTAGTACTGTAGCAGAAATGGCACAACTGTTAGAGGAGAACGGTCTCAAGTTAAGAAATTGCTACAGATATTATCTTATGCATACGGAGTCATGAGTCTGTGCAACAGATGCTTATAATGATTTCAGGCAATTCTGCTGAGGCTGTTGTGTCACCCAACCATAAAAACACGATATGCTTTTGATCTATGTTTTTCAAATGGGTGCACATGGCCTTTTCCTTTGGCCAACAACACGTAGACTGGGACTGTGTTAATAGCTGGTATGCTTATTTCTTATTTAGACAAAAACTATGATCTGGCTTACTAAAATAAATGTTAATTTAAAGCTTTTTTTGTTCTTGTTTTGACTCACAAAAGCTTTCTATAGCAAATGTTACAAGCACAGCATTTGATTCTGACTCAAACTATAACCCTATGGTCATACTTAAATAGAACAAATAGAGCAAAAAATCAATTGGGCAGTTCACAAAAGAAAACATTTAAAATGTAGACCTGAATTACCATAGCATCTATGTGGCTACAAAGTTTAGTTAAGTCTAGCAGGCTGAAAGCTTCACCATTGATTCTATTGGGCCTGGCAATGCAAAAGACAGCTGTACTTTCATCAGCATTCATATACTGAGCAACATACATCAATTCTCTGCCAGAGGTGGCAAGACTAGTGTTTATCATTTTTTTTTGTTTCTGTTTTTCTACTTACCTACACAGTTATCACAAAGGCTGCAATGTGAGGCACGGGGTGGACGAAAAATCTTGCAGGTGAAACAGTATTTTAATTTCACTGTCTGCCCATTGATGACTACTTCTTTTGTTCTAGGAGGTGGACGATAACCTCCTGAACTGGAGCCATTTGCAATTTCTACACAGACAAATAAAACACAAGAAGATATACAAATAAACAGAAGAGTTTCCTTGGAGTATAATTAGCTTTGTATATTTACAAATAGGTAATTCTTACTAAAACAGTACCTGTGTTTTAAATTTTTAATAAATAAGGTAAAATAAGATAAAAAAAAACAAGGACATCACAAGGTTCTGTGATGGGTCAGTTTTGAGTGCATAAACTGTATCTTTTTCTGACTCGGGACAAAGTGCTTTTTAAAATATGAACTGCGCACACAGAGCAAATAGAATAAGGACTGTATTTATTATGTACCAAACACCACAATGTCAGTCCGCGGAAGCAGTATGCTTTGCAAGGGTCATTAACACAGCCTATTTTGTGATATCCGAGTGTGCTCCAGGGGAAATCTGTAACAATCCTCCACTTAATAAGGATTTAAAAAACAAACACTGCATTCTGTGTGACTAGCTAACAGCTAAAGGCTTTTTATACTTCTGCCACTCCGTTGGGTAAGAACAGAAACTTAATCAAATTGCATAATGATCACTTAAGTCAACTACTAACATGTCCACATCAATACCATGAGTGCAATTAACTATCCCTAATAGATATACAGTACTTGGTGCCAAAACTGAATCACTCATTAAATTAGAGGTCCTTAGATGAACTGAAGTCCTCAAATCAATGCTGAGTTTTAAATATAACAAAATCTAAGAAGATCAGACAGCATTCATATTGGTGCACATGTTCAAGAATTTCCCCAAAAGTGAACTGTTAGCATGGCTGCTTATCTTTATTACATTTAACTTAACTTTCGTTTAAGATATTCACAAGAATTTCATGTGTGATTTATTAAAAAAACAGTAACTAACTGAAATCAGACTTGCTTTGACAAGAAAATGAAACACACTGCAACCACCTCCTTCACAGTTTTATTCCCCTTCCATTTCAAAGGGGTATTCAAGAATGCCAAGATCTGTAATCTCAATAACTTCACTGGTGTCTTTTCCACCAACATGAAGTGTAAAAGTACACTTTTACATTTACATCACTGCAAGAATCAATGCAAGATAGTTCATCATCCTAAAAAAATCCTTAGTTTATATATATAGTACTCCTGTTTCCTTAAGCTTATTACATAGCTTTGTTATTTACAGCAGGAAACAGTTATGTATTACAGTATATGTATTTGCATCATTCACACCAGTAGTAGCAATCATGTTATTAAGGTTATCTGTGTCTACAATGATGGAAGCAAACTTTCAAACACCAAATTCGTCCAGAAATGGAAGAAAAAATTAGAAGGAATAAAAAGAGTAAACATTCACAAAATGCTCTGTGTCCATGTGTGAAAGAGAAATAGACAGATTCTGCTTTTCCTATGTGTCCTTCAAAAATATACTTGAGCTGGCTGGGGGAAACATCTGAGACACCCTGAAACATGTTCTTCAGGACTGCTAAGAAAAAGAGGGAATTTATAAAATTCTTCTTATTGACAGGGGAGTCTCTGTTGATTTGGGATCCTTTCCTAGGCACAGCAGGGATTCTGTCCACTCAGTATCCAAGCTCACTGCTGTGATAATCCTTCACAACATTCTTCACCTAGCACATCACAACAAGCACTCCACCATCACATTGCAGGAGGATCTTGCCCAGAGAGCTGCCCAGGCATGCCATTCCAGAAGGCACCAAAGACATCACCAAGTACACCAAGTCCAAATAATTCCCAAGAGCAGAAAGCAAGAAATCTTGAGCTCAAGAACCTGGAGCTGCATATTTGCAATTTCTATAGCAGAAGCAACTCCCTGAACGCCCATGTGCACCCTGGTGCCCCGCCCACCCGTGCACGGGTGCCCCACCCACCCGCACACAGGTGCCCAGTTGCGCATGCACATGGGTGCCCCACCCCCGTGCATGGACCCTACCCTCCCACCCCAACCATTCTGCGGTTCAGAAAAGGTTGGGGACCATTGCTCTAGGAAGTTAGCTGGGGAAAAGCTGGCTCTGGCATTTTGAAAAATCAACAGAAATGTATTCACGAAGGCTTGCACGGCCGGTATCTAATGGTTGTTGTGGGTTTTTCAGGCTCTTTGGCCATGTTCGGAAGGTTGTTCTTCCTAACGTTTCGCCAGTCTCTGTGGCCGGCATCTTCAGAGGG